ACGCACCCACACATTGCACTAATGAATATGGCACTTAAGAAGCAAATGTGGCAGCAGCAAGTGAGGAATGGAGGCAGAAAAATAAAGCAAAAAGGTAATATGAAACTGTCCTATGCAGTCTTGTGGCTGCGAAATAAGGGTACAGCTTTCTTCTTGCTGCTATTGCACAGGGTTATGATTGCATTCTATGGGAAGGAGAGGAGAAGGAGAAGAGGCTGTCGTTAAGAGTAATTACTATCCTCTTGGCTCTTGATATGGGAGGTAGAACTGATAGATTTTGCCATCTTCATTAAAAACCTTGCATAGTCCAAATGGTATTTGTTGTTTTAAGTTATGATTGTTCTAGAGTTTTCAGGACAGTGTCTTCAAGCTCAGCTTTAAGGTTGGAAATTACTTCCTTTTCTACAGCCGTATTGAGCACTTGAAATCCCAGAATGACTTGTTGACAATAACACTGGAAGAGTGCAAGAGTAATGCTGAGAGGATGAGCATGCTTGTTGGGAAGTACGAGTCCAATGCCACGGCCCTCCGGCTTGCATTGCAGTACAGGTATGTACCTATGCAGAGGGTGTCTCAGCCAGAAAAAGAGGGATTGGAGGGAGACTTGATAGAAGTCTTTGAGAGTGAAATCATTGGTGTGCCATAGCAATACTGTTTCTTTTTGTTCCTCGCTGAAAAAATGCCCCTTTGGTTAAACTACTTGACAAACTACAGAACTGAAGTTACTGAAACAAGCGTATTTCAATCCTAGTTCACCAGCAGTAGTGAACTCAATCTAACAGAAATACAGAGATTCATCTTTTCATTTTTAAATACTGAGTTAATATTTGAATTAGGAGTTGTGTGTAGGCTCGAACTGTGTGTACCCAGTCTTAAGATACAGGTTCTCTGTATTAGGCTGGCAATTTTCACAAGACCCATGGACCAAAGAGTAGTATTGTACTCCATTCAGAGTGACTTTATATTACATCAGTTGGAATTGTGGATGAATTGTAAGTTATGAGTGTCTAAATTTGCTTTAACCTGCACGTAGAAAGATGGTGTGTTATAACTCCTTCAACTGCAACTGAATTGGAACAGGCAGTTCTGATCCTAAGACAAATTGTGTGCCTTTTAAAGAATGTATTCTGTTACTGTCAGCCTTGAGCAAATTACAAGGAAATGTAAACTGCAAATAGGTATATTAATGTATATGTTTTCAAAAACATTAGAATGCAACAGGAATGAATGACTCACAATTGAGCTTAGAAGCTGTTGTGTTGTAAGATCTTACAGCCAGGACACAGCAACAAGTATTTTTCTTGTCTTTTCTTTTCTTCTTACTATACTTCATATAGTATGGTTATATAGTAGAGTATAGAATACTTTATTTTGTATAGTAAAAAGACCTGAAAAAAGTTTCTCAAAGGAATCACGTCAACCACCATTCATATTGCTGACTGTTTCAAACATGGTTCTGGAGCTCACCTCACTCACATCAGGTTGTTCTTTTCTGTTTTAACTTGTTACATTACTTGAGGCCAGCCTGGGACCATCATAAGAAAGGAGAGACTGCTGAATGCTTGTGATAGAAGCTATCTGTGTTATGTCATTTAAAATCCCTGCTGCTAGATAAGTAGCAGGGAACTGTGCAGTTCATCAGCCACCTCTTCTTTTTGTTGCTGTTGCAGGTATTCTTCTCTTATTCTTCCCCTCTAAACTGCAGATATACTTTGTGTGATTTTTTGTTTTCTATGGTTTGTTTTCTCTTTCAGTGAACAGTGCATAGAAGCGTATGAGCTGCTGTTGGCATTGGCAGAAAGTGAGCAGAGTCTTATTCTTGGGCAGTTCAGAGCTGCAGGTGTTGGTTCTGTTGGTAAGATGTCAATGAATCACATTATTTAAACATTTATTTTTGCATGTCAGTTAGCATTGGAGTTAGTTGTAATGGTGAATCATCTCATGACCCATCACTTAAGAATGCTCTCCAGTCTTTTCTTGTTTTTAACTAATTAAATAATTTTACACACCCAAAAAACAGGGGAAAAGAAGAAGAGAGACTGGAATTAAATCATAAAATTCACAGCAATTTAAACTAACCTATGTATACTATCACAAGGGGATGCCTATTCTGGCAGTGGTGACGCTGCTACAGGCAGTGGAACTGAGTGGAATTATTAAACAATACTCATGAGCATATGTGGCTTAGGGCCATGCAGCTGTGGTAACTGCAAGTACAGATTTTGTTTGAACCAGCAACATTGACCCCCCCTAGATGTTGAGTACAGTCTATGAAAATCTGGGATTAAGACAATACAAAGGTAGCATTGAGTAGTTAAAAAAAAATTACTCTAGTTTTTCTCCCCACATTTTACCTTTGCTCTGAAATTTTAAAACGTTCTATCTTATGTTTTACTGTGGTGTTGGGGATATTAGCCTCTATGTTCTCGGTTTTTCTCATTTTGTGGATAGTTAATCTTGTGGCTAGGTGATGGTGTTTTTTAATATGGTACTCACTAAGTAATGGAGTGAGCCACTGTCTGAGCTACAGTTCAGAAGGGTTTGGAGCTTGATGTTGCTACTGGCTCCACTTTTCTGACAGAAAGAGGTGTTTACACAGTGAACATTAATCTGGATTTTATAGTCCCATTCCTTTTACTGATAGGAGAAGGTAGCCATACTTCTTTCAAGTAGAAAGAAGGGAAGCCTTCAGAGAGAGAAGAATAGCTCCAAGTGCTGTCCTGAGGCATCGTAACTGCCTGGTTGAGACAGTGTTACAGGGCTAACTTCTCAGGAATTGCTGAAATGTAAACAGAAAGCTTTCAGAGACAGAATGACCATCTGGCTTTAAAGCCACAGGAGTGACACGGTCAGCCATCTTTTGGATGACTAGAGGCACTCGGCCCACAGTGGCTGTGCTGCTAACTGTGCCCCTTATTTTGTATCTCTCCCAGAAACAGACCTTTGCATATCTGTCTTGGCCTGTGCAGTGTGTGCCATACACTAAACGTTAGAGTGGATGTCTGAGATTTTCATCCACCTTTCTTCCAGACTCTGGTCGTTCCTTTCCACAAGGTGCTAGGGAGCTTTCCCTGCTGGCAGGGATCAGTCACCAGCAAAAGTGAATTTAATCTTGGATTTTCTATTCACACAGGTGGCAGAGAGAAATCTTAGAAGCGAGAAATAGTTTGGGTTTGACGAGGGTTTCATCTGACATGCATTTTATGAAAGAGAGTTGTAAGTTAGTTTTTATACAGGTGTCTGTCTACAGATCTTAATTGTGGTATTAATAGGTACAGCCCTGTGATAGAAATAGTGCCAGTTTCCCATTACATAACACAGCTTGGAGGAAGTTGTGTTTGCTTTGTGTACCTTTACTACACCATGAAATTTGATTAAAGCATCTAGATAAAATAGCAGATTTTTGGCTTGAAGATCAGTCCAATTTTCTATCAACATCTGTGAGTGGAAGATTCATGGGAGTTGCTACTGCATCACTTTGAGCTGAGCATATCCAGCTGCTCTTAACAGAGCATTCTCCCTCCCTTTCTTCCGCACTAATGTTATTTCTAGTGCATGCACTTCACTTAGCAAGTGTGAAGTATGGGTAATTGGTCTTTGACTCAAATAAGGATGAAATGAAAACCTGACACAGAGCAAACTGGGTTTTTTTTATACTCTCTGACATCTTTGCATTGTATTTGGTAAAGTATGAATATATTGTAGCTTTGTTCAGACTTTCAATGTAGCTACTAAGCTGTCTTACTTTAATGACTTGACTCAAGCTGGAATTAGGACTATCAGAATAGTGGCAGTGGTGGTTTCTGTTCTGCCTCTGCTGAAGGGATGGCTTACCAGCTTCATATGTGCTGCGTAACCACTAGAAACCATAGAAAATTAATAAACGCCAGTGATAGGGATTTTTTGGCTTAGTATGCATGACGGCAAACTCTGAAAGGCTGCTTCTAAGCAATAAGGCAATTCTTCCAGCTGGAAAGGTAACTTGTAAGTAGGTGTTAAAGCAAACTATTAGGCTTGAGATAAAGGTGCTTGTGAGAAAAAGCACTGGAAATGACCACAGTGTGGAACAGCACTGGACTGATCAGAGTAAGAGTTGTAATTTAGGCTGAGGTTTTTCCCAGTGTATTATTAATTTCAACATCCTAACCTAACCTTAATGCATAACACACACCCTTACAAACTGACAAGCTAGCTAAGATAAAACATCACTTAAAGACACATACCTGGAGCAACAAGTACCTGGAGCTTGTGGCTGGGAGGGAGATGCATTCAGGCCAGGAGTCCAGTTACCACTGATGCTCACACAGAAGTGAAGTTGCTTTTACATCACAGATTGGTAACCTATTGTCACTGTCTTGGTATAAACTGAGAGCGCTTAGAAGCATCTCTACTCTTGCCTTAATGTCTATCACCCTCCTCAAAGCTCTGAAACAGACTGTTTGCTTGAAAACTAGGGGACCAGACAGGTGATGAAAATATCACCCAGATGCTTAAGAGAGCGCATGACTGCAGGAAGACGGCTGAGAATGCAGCAAAAGCCTTGCTGATGAAACTAGATGGAAGCTGCGGGGGAGCCTATGCAATCACTGGCTGTAGCGTGCAGCCCTGGGAAAGCCTGTCTTCCAACAGCCACACAAGGTAACTGCAAATCCTCTGCTCTCCTAATCCCCAAGCGTTTGATGTCAGAACAAAAGTTATGCTGTGTTGTGTTTGCTGAACTAAGGTCCTGCACGTGGGTCGGGGCAATCCCAAGTACAAATCCAGGCTGGGCAGAGAATGGATCGAGAGCAGCCCTGAGGAGAAGGACTTGGGGGTGTTGATTGATGAGAAGCTCAACATGACCCAGCAATGTGCACTCACAGCCCAGAAAGCCAACTGTACCCTGGGCTGCATCAGGAGAAACGTGGCCAGCAGGTCAAGGGAGGTGATTCTGCCCCTCTACTCTGCTCTGGTGAGACTTCACCTGCAGCACTGCATTCAGCTCTGGGGCCCTCAGTTCAAGACAGACATGGACCTGTTGGAGCAAGTCTAGAGGAGGGCCACAAGTATGATCAGAGGGCTGGAGCACCTCTGCTATGAAGACAGGCTGAGAGAGTTGGGGTTGTTCAGCCTCGAGAAGAGAAGGCTCCAGGAGACCTTACAGCAGCCTTCCCTTATCTGAAGGGGGCCTGCAAGCAGGCTGGAGAGGAACTTGTTTTTATGAGGGCATGGAGTGATAGGACAAGGGATAATGTCTTTAAACCTGAATAGGGTAGATTTAGATTAGATATAAGGAAGAAATACTTCACTATGAGTGTGGTGAGGCACTAGAACAGGTTGCTCAGAGAAGTTGTGGATGCCTTATCCCTGGAAATGTTCAGATGTTCATGTTGGATGGGGCTTTGAGCAACCTGGTCTAGTGGAAGGTGTTCCTGCCCTGAAGATGATCTTTAAGGTGCCTTCCAACCCAAACCATTCTATGATTCTATGAACTACCTCCCTCATCTCAGTCCACTGGCTTTTTTGCTTTGATGTATAATTCACTATGCCTCAGTGCTCTAATTGTCTTTAGACTTAGAGCAACTGCAGCCAAGAAGGGTTTTGTATAAATTTGTTGCAAATGGGTGACTCTGAACTTTGATCTTCCTCAAAAAGGGCAAAACCATTACATTTGTTTTACATCAGTGACTTTCTTGCTGTTTTATTGGAACTCAGATCAGGTGCTTCTTATTTGTATCTGTTGTATGCAGACAGCACAGACCTACGGAGAACCAGAGATCAGAATTATGCTTCCACTGGCGTTTTGGAGTGCTCAGGAACTGTTTTCTAAATATTGCAAATTCAGCCATTTTGTTTTAAACCATTTCCTCTCCCTTCTCATTCCCCTTTGGTCTCCTCCAAATTCTCCCTTCCCATGCTATTCTTTCACACATGGAGTGGCAAATGAACCTCATGACAGACAAGAGTGTATTCTTCCAGGAAAGGCTGGATATTGCAGTTTTTTTGAAGACCTATAAAATAATGAAACTTAAATGAGCTATTATTGCAGAAGTGTTCCAATTCAAATACATCTGCTAGCAACTTCATTTTGAGTCGTTGCCTGCCTGCAGTGTAATTGTGCTGTGTGCCATGAATGTGTGGGCTTGTGTACGGATACAAATTTGGCAAGCATCCTGGATAAATATAGATGAACATTATTCTTTTTAAAAGCTATTTTGGTTTCTCAGATTCACTCTAAAACCTCATCTTAATTCAGTTTTTGAGCCAGTTCTTTATTCAAATGCTGTCATTTTTTGACACTTTTAGAAGTTTATTTTAGTACTATATCGTTTCCTCTTCTTGCTGATGCCTCCTCCAAAGGATCTTATTTCCTGCCATGTGATTAGCATGGAATAGCTAAAAAGTGAGCAAAAAGGTGACCTGAGGGAATGGGGTAAAAATGTGAGGTAACTTTTAACGTTTTATTCAACGAAGTTTTATGGTGCACTTTCAGTCCAAGATAGCTGTATCTTTATTCAGAAATTAAAGTGGCAGCATCTGCACTAGTAACATATTGATCACTCATTGTACCAAGAAGTGTTTTCTGGCCTTGGAAAGAAGTTTTACAAAGCTGTTTCAAATACTTGACTTGCCTCCATCTGTGTGCACTTATGCCATGTCTACACCTGTGTGTGGACATACTGTAAGTGGCCACACATAGCAGCACCTCTACTGAGGCTGTGCTTGTTTTCCATTCTATTATTTTTCAAATAATAATTTGAAATGATTTCATAATTAACTAATTTAAGTTATGAATGAATAAATTAATAATAACTTAATTATTAATTAATTTAATAAAAATAATTTCAAATTAGCCCTTTCAGGGCCATTTTTGGTTGTTTGTAACTGCCTCAGTGTTTTTCTTGTATGTAGTCAAGGCATATTTTTTTTTTCTTGAAAATAATTAAGATAGTTTCCAGTATTGACAGGGGGAAATTAATGGGGGGGAGTAGGGGTGGTGGTTTAGTGTTTGTTCTCCTCACCTTTCACTGAAAGTGTTTGGCAGGAATATAGTCTCTACAGTCCTTGCTTTGCTGAACATAATTTTTGGGTTTTGAGGGGGAGGATAAGGGAGAGAGGTGTGTGTGTGTTTGAGGAGGAAGATGAAGATCATCCCTCATGTTCGTTGTTTACCGTGAACTTTTGGTGGTCAGCTGGCAATGTCAGTATATGTGCACATAACGTGTTGGCTGAGTAGATAACATTTCAGCAGAGTATGATTAAAATGGCGTAGGATTTCAAATTCCGTCAGTATAAACTGTGTCATGAAATGTAAAAATGCAAATGTAAATGCTTCTGTGTGCAGCAGAGATGTTTTAGCTTGAGTCGCTATCATTGCAGGATAATGTTTTCTGGCATGGAGCAAGATATTGTACTGAATAAGGTAACTATTATTGTCTGCTTTGATATATGTACAACATGAGAGAGAAAAGCTGCTCTCACTCACCCAAAGGGCACGTAGCAAGTCAGGAACTTGTCATATGAACATCCTGATTTGATCATTGCTTATGCAGTGTCATCCCTCTCCCTTCCCTCCATGCCAAATGTAATTTGTCTTCATCTAAACACAAAAGTCGGTGCAAATATTTCTGAAAGCTTAGCTTCTCTTCTCTCTCTTCTTCTCTTTCCTTCTGTTGTGTTCAAGTGGTGTGTGGTAGAGGTGTTTTCAGATTTCTCCTTCCTATGGCCCCTATCTCAAAGTAGAAGCATCCCCTCTTCAGCTTACAGCCTCATGACGCTGTGCCGGCCCATAGATGGAAAATCTGTGTTGGTTTAAAAGGCATATACTTTTCTATATTTGTGTCAGTATATGTTCTATCTGAGGTCAAAAAAACGGAAGATTTTGTCTTTAACTCTCCTCTCCCTATCGTCCTGGATCTTTTTTTGTTTCTTTCCAGGACCCTACTCCTGCTTTTTGAAGTTATCCTGCCTATGTTGCCAGCCCTCTCAACCCATTCATGCGTGCTCCCTTGTCACTTGGCTCCCTGCTACTCTAGACAGATGTCCCATTGCCACGGACCTCCAGACCCCTGTGATTCTTTAGTGTTGATGTTTTCCATTTCCTTTTCTTTTCCATTACAATAGCAATCCAAGCAGAGATAGGAAAGCAGACTGTGGATTTTTAGCTGTTCCTGCAGGCTTAATGTTTTTTATTTGTCTTAAAGAACTTGGCAGTCCATAAAACCAGGGAGCAGAACAAGCCCACATCACTAGTGAGTGCTGTGTGAACAACCATTTGGGGACCACTGCACTGAAACAAAAACATTTTTACATTATGTGGTTCAAACAAGTTCTGAATCTGCAAGACTGGTCTTTTGCCATAGCTGGTTTAGTGTTGCAGGCTTTTAGTTGCAGATATGTATTGCTACCTTTTCCCTTTGAAACCTACGGAGTAAAGAGGTAGTGGGATGATGGAAGCTCCTTTGCTGAGACTTGTGACAAATGAATAATTCTCCCTGCTGTTGGAAATCCTGTAGAATAGGCACTTATAATGGAACTGTTGACCCATCTTTAGCTTTGGCATTTCAAATGAGATTCTGAATGTCAAATCACTGAACACATTACTGAGAATAAATGCTTGGTGAGCCACTAGTGACAAGTGGTTAAAGACTGTAAAAGAGAGCAACTGAAATGAAAAGAAATGCAATGAAAGAACATCACAGAGGTTGTTACTGGTGATGTGAATAAAAATAATAGCAAGCATCTCAACTCATTTGGCTGGCAGCAGCACAATAATATTGCCAGTGCATTTTTTGAAAATAGAAATAGGTCTGCAGTGTAGTTGGAAGTCATAATTATTTTAATGGACAGAAGCTAACTATAGAACATATATCACCGGCAAGGTTTGACTGGCTGCACCTTGAAAAGAAGGAAACAAAAGAGAAGGACTCCAGTTGTAACACTGACTGAAAACAGTGGATTTTATTCCCTGCAGTGCTAGTAAGCCCAACCTTACATCTGGATTCATGGAGGGAAAGATGTGGTCTATTATATGCAAATGGAATTCTTTTCAGCATTATGCAGTCTCACAAAATATCTGAACTCAGCCAAATGTAGGACTATATCTCTCATCAGAATCGCTTCAGATGTCAGATGAGTAGCTGGCAGACAAGATTATCTTGGCTGAAGTGTGCAAATAAGTTATTTAGAAATATCCCAACAGTTATCCTAATGTTCTCTATGTAACACTTCATTTCTGGACTAAACTAGTCTCAGAAGGAAGCAGGGTAGTTTCACCAAAAGTTCTGATTTTAGCCGAATATGCTGTTATTTGTCTTCTGGATGGTTGGAGTATTTTTTAGTTTCTCAGGAAGTTTCCTTCTTTTGGCGTTGTGCTATTTCAGATCTCAAGCCACAGCGTCCACCTAGAAGATGGTTGGCCCACGTACGCTGTGTATCAAACTCACTCTTTAGTGTAAGGTTGCGTGCAGATGTCCAAGCAAGTTTTGTGGATTCAGTTCCAACAGCATTATTTTAGTTCTATCAATTTTTGTGTTAACTGCACCATTGCTAAACTGCAGATTTTTACTTGATTTTTAACAGATGAACTGAAGCTTGTACAGGCTTTTATGGACAAAATTTTGTAGTGTACAGAAGTTACTCACACAGAGGCACTGTTGGAAGCCTCGTTTATATCCATCCACTGCTTTTTATATGCACACATGTGCATGTGAACACACACACATGCATGCCAGCAAATAAAACTACACGTTATACTGTACCAACATGCATATGTTCCACAGGCTGTATATGAAAATTAATTTGACATCATCCAGGCATGACATCATTGTAAAAGACTTGAGGGATGGAGCAGGCAGGAAGAACATTTCTCTTTGCTTGTTCTGAACACAACAGCAGTTAGATTGAGCAGATTGATGTTGTATTCCCTCCAGGTGTGATGAAATTGCGATCTTTTCTCTATCCCTACCTACATGCTTGAGGAATGAGAAACTGCACGTCTTTTGCAACAGTTTCATGTGGTTTTTGGACTGATGCTTTATACTACATATGCATTCTGTCTGTCTGTTTTCCTTTGTCCTGACTGCCGTTCGAAGGGAAAGCAGTATCTGAAATTCAGGATCATATGCTCACCAGCTGTGGGCCCTTAAATAGAGCAGCAATGGACTAGCATTATGGCTGTGGAGAGCTGTTTGTGGGGCTTTTGGGGGAACACACCCTGGCAGAGCTGTTCTGTGGGAGTTCAGAAACACTGCAGCGTTGTTTCTGTCCCCCATCATGCAGCCTCATTTTTACAACACCTCAAAGTGGGCTTCATACCCTGACTTTCTGCAACCCATACTGCTTCCAGTCTTCTGGGTGGGGGCTTGCTGCTAAATGTGGGGGGAGAGGGAAGGTTCTTCTCCCTTTTTGTGCTGAGACAGCTTCCTTCCTAAGCTCCCCTCACCTTCTTAAAAAAAAATAAAAAGGGGGAGGAAAAAAAAAAAAATAGAAGAGCAGCTTGCTAGCAATTCACCAGAGGAGCCAACTCAGCTGCAGACAGACAGGCAGGCAGGCAGCCAGGACTGAAGTAAAAGCAGCCGGAGTATCACTGGCAACCACCCAGATTGCCTTCCTCAGTTTGGACTGCTCTCCCCTAAAATATACGTGCATAGCCATGGATCTTTAAGGGCCAAAATCTGGGAATATCCAGTGATTACGAGGTCCAACACAACATAACAATAGGCTTTCAGCATTTTTGCTTGGGTTTCATTCCCAGCAGGAGAGCTAGGTTTTCTTTCCTTCGCAAGCGAAAACTGAGATGAGCTCTTTGTATCCCAAGATTCTAAGCCTGTGTAGTCTTTAGAAGCTGTCCTTCCTTCCAACAGCTGTTTTGCATTTTATCCAGAAAAGCTGTGCAATTGCTGTCTTTGGGTGCCAAGGAAAATCGCAACATGATTTCAGTACAGAATTAGTATTTCTCACATTGTCTATCCCCATGGTTTTTATATCAATATCTACTTCAGGGAGGTATCTTTGGACTCAGTAAAGCAAGATCTATTAAGTGTTTTGAGATTTTCTAATGAAGAACTGTGAATAAAAATTTGTTTCAGCCTGAAAGGGTTTCTATGTTGTGTAGGTACTGGGTGTTTTTAGCTTCACTGCAGATGGAAATGGGCAAAAAACAAAAGCAAAGACCAGCTTACACTTGTGGTAAATATGGCACCTATTGTCCCCTAAAGAAAGGAAGGAATAATGAGAAATTGACAGACAACTGTAGTAAAGAACTGTAATGTGATATTTCATGAGAGAGAAGGATTTTGAGAAATCTCTGTAGACCTGCCAATTCTCCATCTCCTCCAAGGCTGTGCGTGGAATTTGTGGTAAGATTGGCCATTGTTTGAGGCGCTTAGAAATCAGTGTAGCTTTAGCTGAAGTACAACCAACAGGAAAGAGAAAAACCAAGCCTATCTTGATAGGCTTCCCCTTTTTCACATGCATAATGTATTTTAGGACATCATCCTGACTCTCACAGCATGTAGCGGGTGGGGCTTTTTTTTCTTCCTACAAAAATGTTGAACAGCAGTGCAATTTGATACAGAAAGTGATTTATTCCCCTGCTGATAACTGAGATCATCTAGCATTCCAGGCAAGCACAGTTAATGGATGACTTATCCCTCTCCCGGCAGCTGATTACAGGACCTCAGGAGACAGCAGGCTGCTTTGAGTGAGGTTATAGAAACAGCACGGCATTTTCCTTTTAGTGTTATTGCAACTATATTGAGCCCTGGAATGCTCCGGCTGTACCGGTCTGGGCCCCCTGCAGCACTGGCATGCGTGTAGGTGGGCAAGCAGCGCAGAGCCACCCTTGCTCTAAGGCATTAGTTCTGCCTTTCTGCGATTGCCCAGTCGACATTTGTGGGGCAGACTGATGGGCAGTCATTTGTTTGATGCTTGTGGATAGGAGAAGTTCCACCAGGTTTGATGATGACTTTGTATTAAAAATCCTCCTAACTTAAGAGGTTGGTTTTAAAACCCTCCATCCCCAAAGGAATGTCAGCGCACTGAGGAATAGACCTTAATGTGAATTTGAAAGATGCTACCTCCTGGCATCTGCCAATGGAATTTTGCTCAGGTTGATTCCTACAAGTATCCATTAAAAATATCTGAGATGATAACCGGTATTGCCATCAGCAGACATAAATGAGGTCTGGGCCGATTCTTTTTTCTTAGCAGATGATTCTTCCCAGAGAAGATGAAGACTCAGTGCCTGAGCAGCAGAGCTTGGCCTGCTAGGGTATTGCTAAGAAACCTTTAAGTAGTTTTTGGGTTTGTTTTCTTAATTTAAAAAAAAAAAGACTCATTTCAGAAGACACCATTCCAGAAAATGTAATTCAGTTACATGTCACTAAATATCTGGCTTTGCAGAGAAGTTGTCACATGATTAAATTTTCTCATGCAGCTTAGAGAATTAATTTATTTTCTGAATTTGTCACACCCCTCTGCATCTTCTGAACATTGCAACATCCAGTCCACGCCACGTGTGTCCTTTCTATGACCTTTTAAGTAAGACTCAGATGTGTCAATGAAGCATTGGGAGAGAGTTTGATGTAAAAATACATATTTTGTTCCAAATGTTTTTTTAATACCGTTCTTTCTCTTTCCAGTACTACCAGCTCAACCGCAAGCAGTTGTGATACGGAATTTACGAAAGAGGATGAGCAGCGGCTGAAGGATTACATCCAGCAGTTGAAAAATGACAGGGCAGCAGTGAAACTGACAATGCTGGAGCTGGAAAGCATCCACATTGATCCCCTTAGTTATGACGTTAAACCTCGTGGAGACAGCCAGAGGCTAGACCTGGAAAATGCGGTCTTGATGCAGGAACTTATGGCGATGAAGGTATTTTATTTATTTCCAATGGGCTACCTACACTGCTGCTGATGCCCCTGTTCTAGAAAACATGCCCAGTCACGCACATGAGAGGCTTTGATAGTGATCACTGGGTAATAAAGGGTAACTTTGTTGAAACAAATAATCAGGGCTGAAAATCCCGTAGTCAGAAAGTGACAGAAGGCAGTGCATTAACAGTGACGAGCTGTGTGTGTTTTGAATTAGGCGAGGACTTCATCCATGGCTCTAAACTGGGAATGTTCTCCTTGACAAACCAGATGCTCTCCTTAAGAGATACGGCAGCTGAGTTGCTTGAGGGTGACCAAAAGCACGATACAGCACTTCCCAAGAGACAGTTCATGTCTTTACTTACAAGCTTGCAAATGTGCATCTTGAATATTTGTCAGCTGAAGCAGAACAAATTCACCTCCTTTTAATATTGCCGTGAGAGGAAGAATGGTCTGTCAGAAGCTGTCATCTCTAATGCTCTCCAGTCACAAGTCTACAGCCATTCTAGGCACTCCGTTGCAATCTGTAGCGCAGCTCAGAGCCTGACAAAGAGCACAGTGTGTAATGACTTGCAGTAACAGGCATTTTCAGAGAAAACTCTGGTCCCTCCAGACTGGTTTATACATCCAGTTCTAAGGATGTGACCTAGAAGAACTGTGTGGGTTTGGTTCAGTGCAAGTAAGTTTCATTTCTGCAAGTCCTATTTTAGTCAACTGATGGCAGATGTGTCAGGTGATGGTATCATGTGGGACAGCAAATCCTAATAGTTTCATAAGCTTCTAAAGCTATAGATTTTTGTTCAGATGTGCTATTGTTGGCTAACTGGTAGCTTAGTAATGATAATTATGTTCTTGGTGGTGCTGCCTTTCCATGATGACAAATACAATTTTGCAATAATGCATTCAATATTTGCAGTTCAGAAAAAAAGATTGCCTGCTACCAGTCAGAACATGTAAACTTGTTAGTCGTTTGGATATGTTGTGGCCAACAGCAGTATATTCCCCATAATTAAAGCAGGCAAGATGTACTGGAAGGCATTTGTAGATAATTAAATGTATATTTCAGATAGCACACTTCCCTCTCCTCTTTTGCATCCAGATCTCCCCTGAAATCTCTTGTACACCATTCTTACCTCTATCTTTAAACTGATTGGTAAAAGCAAACTGCAGAGCTATCCCTTGTGATCAGTGCCCTTGCATTCCCTGACCTGGCAGGAGCACCAACAGTTGCATATCATAATTTCTGGCACAGTTTTGAGTGCTGATAATCCTTTCATTCACTAAATGATAATCTAACTTGTTTTTGCTGGACCTAGCGCATTAGGTTTTCACTGCAAGGATTGTCCCTAGAAGAAGAAGAGATCTTTCTTCTTGGTTGGTTTGTGTGCAGTGCATACTGGAATGGACACACATTTTACATAGGTGGCTGAAGTCACCTTCAGTCCTTTCTGGTACAGAGAAACTGACAGTACTGTTATTCAGTATGATCTGTTGTGCTTTGCTGGAATATCTGAAAGGGATATGATGAAAACTCAAGTTTATCAAAGCTTGGAGTGGATTTGTTGGTAAGTGGTCTCCTGCTGCAGAAGCCTTTCTTCTACACATAAAGCATTACAAAAGACAGAGCTACGCTCTGTGTGCTTTGGTCCCAAGAGATTGTGCTGCCTTATTAGCATCCATGGTTGTTGCTTGGGTCTGTATGACACCTTGCTCATATGTTCAGCAAGCTATAACATAGCTGAACCTAAGGGCAGGACTCATGGATGTCTTGGCTTTCTGAGTCTATTGTTTGTATGTGTTATTTGGAACATACACCTCATATAGAATAGCATATGTATCTGCATTCTTCTGAGACAACTGGAGAATTTAAATTTCCTTACGGTATTTTATTTAACTTGAAGCAGGTGGACTCATCTGTGCTGCAGAGGACTTCATCATGTAGCAGCTCTTCATTTGTTCCCTCCCTTCCACATTCTTAGCAATAATGATACAGGTTGATTGAGCTACTCAAGGATTTCCTGCATTGCTGGGTCTTACGGCCTGCAGCTGCCTTCCTGAAACTTGTATCTGTGTCAGAATCTCTGCTGCATCTTTTGGCACCTTTCATTTATGACACCCAGTAAAAACTGATCACCACATCAGTCATTGCTTCTTGCATCTGTGTGTTATGCTGATAATGTTCTGAAAATGCCTTTACAGCATTAGTTCTTCATTATTGATGAAAATGATCCATAAAAAGTTGTTTGGGGGGTGGTTTCGCTGTTGCTCTGTTTACTTTTTTTAGTGATCCAGAGCGTAAGATGTAGCTGTCTGACAGTACTTCCGTACAATCCAATTCTTTGCTTCGAGCAGTAATTAACCATGTTCCCAAATATATACTCATCTGCAGTTTGTTGTCATTCAGTGGTCTTGCTTTGAGGTCAGTTGTTGTCATGCCCCAGTTAGCAAGGAGATTACTTCTGATGGGTGTAAATAATTCTTGGTTTACAGCCTTTCTGCATTTCAAAGGACTTAATCTAGATAAGAAGTCTCAGCTTTCTACACTGATAATTTTCCTCTTTGGTGTACAGGTGGTGATAACATTGCTCATGACGTGCTCTGAGACTACAGTCTCTTTGCACAACATGTTAAGAATCCTGTTGCCCGCCTTTGTTACGGCATTTCATGCTCTTATAGATTATATAGTAAAATATAGTTCACTAGTGCATGGCGTTTATCTGCTCTGATATGTGTTTTACTTCTGAAAGCTGGTATATTCCACCTTGTGTCCTGTGATCCTCCTGGAGTCCCTTCTTTAGAACTTTTTGCCACTGAAGAGTCCTTGCTGTTTTGTTCTTCTGACATGACCACATCCAACACAAATTTTAATTTTGAGGATGCTGCGTGTTTCTGGTTATATTGAGTCAGAAGTGTTCAAGTTTTCACCCAAATTCAGAATTACAGTATGACTGCAATTACAAAATATTCCTCAATATTCAATTAATTTGTCCTGAAATAAGTTCTAGATTTGGTGCTTGAAGCTTGTGAATTTGCATGGGTCGTATAAGTCTTTTGCAAATCAACTGGAAGAGTGACCACTTGCTACCTCCTTCTTCAGGGTTTCATTTTGTAAATGCCACTTGTGCTTTAGGCCCATACTCTGAAGAAGCAGATATGTTAAACTGCAGAAAGTTTCACCAGCATCCTGTAATTAAAAAAAAGAGTGTAGTAGATACACAAGGGTGATGTTGTCATTGAAATTAAATTTAGATGCTATCTTTAGAAGACATATTTTCATGGAAAAAAATCACTGCATATGTAAAGACTAATTAAGTCTCTAAGTAAACCTGAGCTACTTAAATTTTCCCATATGAACGCTGCCACCCTATCTCACAGATTGTATGTGTCCATACCAGAATCCTCAACACTAGTTTTAATTTTTAACTTCAACCTTTCCATTCCTTCCTGTTACTTCTCTGGGAGCCTCTGCAATACACTGGCTGGCAGTTCTTCCACTTTTGCCCTGCTTTGTCTTTGCTTCTCTACTACTCTGCAAAGTCACATTGTCTTGACATGAGAAAACTAACGTATGGGGGGTGCTTTTCCTGTCTTCTGGGACAGGATACAAACTTATGAATTCATATATGATGATCCTAGCTTACTGTCTTCGTAAACAAAGGAGTTAACCATTGATTCTCAAATTTATTTTGAGCTGGGATATGTAGTATGAACAAACATCCAGTCTTTAAGTTAAAACTTCTAAGTGATGGGAAAAATCAGTTCCAGTGATTCATTGTTGCAGTGGTTAAATTCACCTTTTTCTTTTAGGAAATAAATGTCCCTTATTTCTAGGCTGAATTTGCCTAACTTCAGCTTCCAGCCTGGGAAGATCTTGTCATGACCCTCCCAGGCAGACAGCCCTCTGTCAAGAGTATCTTCTATTCACATAAGTGCCAAAATACTCTGCTCAAATTACTTCTCAGACTTTACTAAGCAGGCTAAGTAGATTAATGGCTTTAGAAATAGAGGCTTAAGAAGCTAAATGCATACACTTAAGTATACCAGACAATCCAATTCAACTCCCATAACTAAATTTCCCCATCACTGTTTGTCAGTAATATTTACCTTTTTACTGTTGACAAAGGAAATAAATGATAAGTTTGCCTAACAACTACATTTCTGTAAACCACATTGAATGAAACTGATTGTATTTCTAACCTTCAGTTCACAAACAAGTAGATTGAATAAATGAATTATTTTAAAGCTCATACAAACCTTTCCAAGCCTGAGGGTTTTTGGGATACGGATTTTATTTTTGCATGGTTGGTGATTCTGAATGAGCCAATTATTACCTGTGATTACTATATGCTGGTCATAACTGTGCTACACCTGTGTGCACTGCTTACACTTAATCCAGACAGCAAATTTTTGTAGGAACATAGATTCTCTTCTGCAGAAAAGTTTAGTCTAATTATGTGCCAAGATTTCTGTTTGTATAATCTTTGTTAATAATGGATGTAGTACAAAGAACATTATTTTTGAAGGATAAGACAAGATACTTCTGATATTTTTGTGACTAGAATATGTTTTTCATTTAAAAAAAAAGTTGAAAATAGTGATTTGTTCCTACGCTGGTCACACAACAAGAAACTTCTGTCTTTCAGAGATGTTTACGCAGTGAACAAGTCTAGAACTGAACTGTAATGCAGAAAATGGCTGCATGAACTCAGTATTCACCCATGAGGGTCACCTCATGGCGTGGCAAGCTCAACACTGAGAACATGATTCTGGGTTGTTTTAGGGGGGGGTTGTATTTTTTTTGGCGGTCCTTTTTTTGATGGTGTTTTTTTAACACATAATGTAAGTTAAGCTTTAGGACTATCTCTTTAAAGGTTTTCTGGATGCTGGGTTTTTCTGGGTTCAGAAAATAACTAGATATTCCGTGGAAAAAACTTTTCTGAAGTGTTGTTAAACACGAAGAGCCTTCTGGTTCAGGATACCCATCAGCTGCTTTTCACGGGAGGCTGGGAGCAAGTGCTGAAAGAAGGGTCACTGGACCGGTGGCTTGTTCTTACACTTCTGCCCAGCCGCTGTGGGAGCAGATGTTAAAGCAGAGGTCTGTCCCCAAAGTAGCAGTTGTTGTGTTACAGGAGTTGACAGCTCTGTCATAAATATCAGAGTGGCAAGAGTTACACAAAAGAGCTAGCTCTCAGAATTGAGCTGCTTTCTATGAAGTACTGCTGTCCATCTTCTGTGGATCATATTTGTGGAAGAATATAAGTGAGTGCAATTTTGTCAACTGCCGGTTGCGTATAGTTGGGATTTTGGCCATCTAGAGGAGGGAGGACATCCAATGGTGCCATACCCAGTTGCCCTTTTTGACTAACTCGTTCTGCCACAAAGGCTGGCATTATGAGGCAGGAATATGTGATCTGTGTTTGCTCTCCTAGTCCCTCAAACCTATTCCACTGTAATGAGATAAACCAACTCTTAATTCTTAGTGTCAATAAGAAACTGGAATCTGGCATTTAGGGAGCTGTTTGTGAGACACTCCTATTTTTAGGGCAATGGTCTCTGAAGGGCAAGGTAGGACCAAAGGAATGTCAACAGCTGAGTCAACCCTCCCAGATCCCTGATACTCTAGTTTCAGCACCACATTAGCTTCTCTGTTGCCTCTGAGCTTATTTCTGAGACTGATTAAGGGATGGCACATCTTGTCATACTCAGTCTCAAGATATACTCGTCTTTTGACATATATACTATGCGATTATAAAAAGTCTTCTGAATGCTGATAGTGTTTCCATGGAAAGAACACTCAAGTAATAGGAGTCGGTGAAAACTTTGTTTAACTTAGTCTTCCTTTAGTTAGGTAGTCCAGTGACACAGCATGCTGATAATGTTTCTTCAACAGGAGGAGATGGCAGAGCTCAAGGCACAGCTTTACCTGCTAGAGAAAGAGAAGAAGGCATTGGAATTGAAACTGAGCACTCGAGAGGCCCAGGAGCAGGCCTACCTCGTCCATATTGAGCACTTGAAGTCTGAAGTGGAAGAGCAAAAAGAGCAGAGAATGAGGTCTCTCAGCTCAACCAGCAGTGGAAGCAAAGACAAACTGGGCAAGGTCAGGAGTCAAAACAAGTTTCCAAAATCAGTGTAAACACAATTTGTTGTACCCCTCCCCTCCCTATAGCAGTTCTTAACATGTTAATCATTAGTCTTTTTTGTCTATATGTACGTCTTTTCTCTCCTCTCCAGTTGTTAGGTGGTTCTTTCCATACTGTGACTCATGAGGACTTTGCAAAATTTACTGTTAAGCTTAGGCTAAAGTAAGTTTGTCATTTTGGGGAGGAGCACCACAAATCCATTCTTGCCAAAAAACCAAGGTGGTTGAATATGTTGTGTCTTGCCTGTTGCCACTCACTGGAAAGA